ATCTCGAGCCGGTTTCTCAAACTTACCTACCCCACCTTTAATTTAACTTTTATGTTTAGATTAATATTGAACTCTATATATATATATATAGATAAGCATTTGTAGTAATCTTTGTTTGAACATACATTGGTGTATATGGTATACCTTAAATAATGTATTTAAAGTAAAATGGTGGTATTGTTGCATTTACAGTACAGGACTGCTTTACTGTAAATCTGAAGGTTGCTTTTATGCTGTTTTGTAGAGTGCATGCAAAGTATGTGTAACAGGTTATTCTGAGCTACACATGCTTCATTCATGAATCCAGCAGCGTCTCCGTCAGTGATCGTCCTGTGGCCTCACCTCCCCTCAGCTGTCTGCAGACGGGCTAAATATAGATCCCTCTCTATCTCTGAGATGTGGATTTCTGTTTTGCCTCACAACGCTCCCCTTCAGATGCACAGAATCTGAGTGTTTTACTTAACCTACATGTGACTGTAGGTGGAGAGAAACTGGGTTCAGAGAGAGAGAGAGAGAGAGAGAGAGAGAGAGAGAGAGAGAGAGAGAGAGAGAGAGAGAGAGAGAGAGAGAGAGAGAGAGAGAGAGAGAGAGAGAGAGAGAGAGAGAGAGAGAGAGAGAGAGAGAGAGAGAGAGAGAGAGCTATCCTAGTCCTACAAGTTGTATTCATTCAACTGGAAGCATGTTTATTTTGTATATAACATGTTACTCTTGACAATCATTAAAACGTTAATAAAATGTACAACTTATTTTGTGTAAAATCCCTGTATTCTCCCTCTGGAGGGAACACGGGGATTTTAGCCTCTGCAGACCATTTACATGCACTAACACCTACAGTATAGAACACACTACAGGAAAAATGGAACACCACAAAAAGCAGAATAAGGACTCTACATATTTACACACTGTTACATATGTATTGGTTTATATTAAAGTACATTTCCTACATTATGACTTCTTATTACTTACATATCTCTTATGTTCATATAATACTTCTTATATTTTAGTGTCACAAACCTGGAACAATGTGCATATTATGACTTGAAGTATGTTTATATAATTTCTATTTCATTTTACCTAAGGCTATTCTAGATTAGAGCAACTGTGACGAAACCCCATTCCCCCTAAGGGATAAATGTATTAATTGCTTTACTAATAAAATACAAATCTTCTGTTCGCTGCTGTATTAGTCATTTCTTTTGAACGTGTTGGCTGCTTTAATGTGTTGCTGCGACAGGAAGCGCTCAAGCTACTCCTCCAGAGAGATTTATAAAAAAACAAAGAGAGGTGTGAGAAGACAAATTGATTTCATCCCACCTAATCGACCCCTCAGATCCGCGGAGACCCGTCAGTCTCTCCGGTACCGATCCGTGTTCCCAGGCAGAAACCGGAGCGACGTGAGGAGGAGAATCCGAAGATCTTCCACAGCGAGAGGAGGCATCACTCTGAGCTTTAGAGCAAGACAGACAAAGTGGAGTGGTGCAGGATCAGAGGTGGGAAGTAGTGGAGTTCAAATACTTCGTTACTGTACTTAAGTACATTGTTCTGGTATCAGTACTTTACTCCACTACTTACTTTTCTGACGACTTTTTACAGTACTTTGACTTCTTACATTTTGAACCCAAATACCTGTACTTTCTACTTCTTACATGTTGAACCCAAATACCTGTACTTTCTACTTCTTACATGTTGAACACAAATACCTGTACTTTCTACTTCTTACATGTTGAACACAAATACCTGTACTTTCTACTTCTTACATGTTGAACACAAATACCTGTACTTTCTACTTCTTACATGTTGAACCCAAATACCTGTACTTTCTACTTCTCACATTTCCCAAACAGGCTGGTTCCTTTAGTCTGAATGTGTGTTTGGTGGCGTGATCATTATTATTTAGAGTCATTGCGTGCCTATTGATTTGAACACGATCCGTGTATCCATCATTTCCTGGACTTCTCTAAAGAAGAGGGACCAATGAAAATGTTGTCATGTTGCCGTTGTTCAGCATGGAAACATTCATTAGCTAACAATGACATTATTGTTCTATTAATATAAAGGGAGGTCAGGTACTCTTTAAAACAGCTGCTAGTTATGGGTACTTTTTACTGAAGTACATTTAGAAGCCCTCTTTACTTTGACTTGAGTAAAGAAGTTTAGTCAGTACTTCTACTTTACCAGAGTATTTTTAAACACAAGTCTGTACTTCTACTTGAGTAAAGGATGTGTGTACTTTTGCCATCTCCGTGCAGGAATGAGTCCTAAAACCATGAGTCTGCATTTTACCACTTCTGGATTCCTTCGTGTGCAGGTCAATGGTTTCTGAATGGGTATTTGCTCTGTTATGCAAGGCAAGGTTCCTTTATTGCCCAACATTAGCCGCTTTTAGCTTAGCGGTTGTAATGATAGGTGTTTATGGTGACGTGAAGTCATGTGACCCTTTACAGAGGGTGGTGAAAACTGCAGAGCACATCACCAGGACGGAGCTGCCATCCATGGAGGACCTTTACTCCCAGCGGCTCAGGAAGAAATCCCTACGGATTATCAAAGACCCCCATCACCCCAGCCACAAACTGTTCTTTCTGTTGCCGTCTGGCAGACGTTACCGCAGCATCCTGGCAAGGACAAGAAGATTCGGAGACAGTTTCTTCCCGCGGGCAGTGAGACTGTTAAACAATTGAACTGCTGAAACAATTTCATAACATTCATCTGCTACTCAGTAATATATATCTACTATCTAATATATCATTCCAATAACTTGTATATAGACTCGTACTGCACTATTCCACATGCTCACTTTATTTTAGAACTATTTTTCTTTTTGTATTACTTTTACTATCTGTATTATTATTATTATGTTGCATTGTTGGAGAAGCCTGTGACATAAGATTTTCAACGACATAATTACTCTGTAGCTATGTTAGTTTGACAATAAAGAACCTTGAACCTTGAACCTTGAGTAGTTCCTTTATAGCCCCATATTAGCCAATGGAGAAGTCCCATTGGATTTTGATGGAGGGCCTTCTGGGTCTGTCTAAATATGTCATAAGACATTTGATACTATTGCACTGGGTAATATAAATCAGTTTAATCTTTACTTTAGTTTGTCAAAAAATAAGTCCCAGGCTCCTATAACTGTGCAACACACAAAATACTTAACCTATAAAAAGACATAATGGTGCAAGTGAGTTGCAAGAATAAAGAAAATGAAATACATGTAAAGTATATTAAGATAAAAGCAGAATGTAAATTGTTGTAAGGCCAGATGTTGAGTGTGAGAAAAACAGCGAGGAGTGAGACCTCCTATATGCTCAGACCATCTTGTCTCCCCCCCAACCTGCTGCAGTGACGTCACACAGGTGGCGAGCTAATGGAAGTGTCAACAAACAAGACGTCACACTGCGCGGCCGACGTGATTGGCTCACAGCCCGGCGCCCGCAGTTGCTATGCAGGTTAACTTCTTTAAGTACTTCTGAATGGCTCATGCACGGACACACACACACACCACACACACACACACACACACACACACACACACACACACACACACACACACACACACACGCACACACACACACAGACACACACAGACACACACACACGCACACGCACACACACTCACACTGTTTGCATCTGGGCTGAAAAGAAAGCAGCAGGAAAATATGGTGGAGACAGATCTGAAGCTATAAACACAGACAGGAGTTATATATATATCACATTATATAGTATATACACATAAAGCTGTTTAAACTAGGGGCACATAGACAAAGGAGAGCATTAAGGAAGATAAACAAAATATGTAAAATTCAATACTAATGTTAAATACACAGTTGTCATAGTGGTGAAATACTGAGACAGAGTGAAAATACTGTATTTATCCTGGGGGAAATTGGGTTTTGTCAGTCGCTTGATTTTTGAATAAATATAGAAATAATAATAATAATTAAAAAAGTTTAAATGAATTTATAAGTTAAATAAGTGAAATGTCTAATAAAAGATAGAATCATTTTTAATTGGATGACCATATTTAATAAACAAAGAAGTTACAGTCAACATGTTATACAATATATCATATCATGTAATATATACAGGGAGAGACAAAATAGGCACAGCGCCATCTAGTGGCCGTATTGAGAACAGGCTTAACCAAGGCATCACCTGAAAGCTTATGTTCTGCTCTTTCAATAGGTTGGCTCAGTTTGTCTTTGCCATGAACTGTCACAGAGATATTCAATCAGAAAGAGAATGATGGCATCTGATCCAGGAAGAATGTTTGATTTGTTTTCATATAGGGGTTACATTGTTTGGACCCTCACTGTAGCTTTCCAGTAGCTAGTTGACCGGGTTGTCCACCCAGGTTGTGATCCTTGAAGGTCCTAAATATCATTTCTGGTGGGAAACCTTTTACAACATTCCATGTCTGTAAAAGGACTTTGACTTTGGGGTATTTTTCCTATGGATGTGAGATTTTCCCATAAATACAATTATCTGTGTGGAAAACAATATATTTTTCCATCACCCTTGAAATAAATAAAAACGTCTTTATTTGTAATTGTTTTATTGTACTGTATATAGTAGCCTACACTATGTGTATATGTTCAGCAGATTGGTATATTAGAGAGAATTCTATTTGATCCTGTATACTTTATAATGTGTAGAATAGGTAGAACTCCTCTGAATATAGCTATTTTTTACTGAGTATATGTATATATTGGTTTTATTTTATTTTACATTTGTAATGTTTATCTATATTTTATTCTATTTTTTTAAGTTATTTTGTAATTCTCGTAGATTGACGGTCAAAATGCTGCTGTGACAAAATAATTTCACAATTTAAATAAAGTATATGTCTGTCTGTCTGTCTGTCTGTCTGTCTGTCTGTCTGTGTGTGTGTGTGTGTGTGTGTGTGTGTGTGTGTGTGTGTGTGTGTGTGTGTGTGTGTGTGCGTGTGAGCGTGTGTGTGTCTGTCTGTCTGTCTGTCTCCCGAAGTTGCATGTTTTGTTTATATAACGCATGGTACGTCCTACGTCATCACGTTGACCCGGAAGCGGAATTACAACACGTGTGTTTTCTGAAGGGAATCACCACGCATGTTCAGAGAACCGAACTCAGGTAACTAACTATTATCTCTTAATTTAAGCGGCTATAGTAAAACTAACACCACCGAGGAGTGATTTGAAGCTGTTTCTTAATAACAACAGGAGCTAACCTCACACGTGTTTCTCTCTGACTGTTAACAAACAAACTACTTAAACGTGGCTAGCTTTAGCCGGCTAGTTCTGTGCTAAACTGTCACTACTCGTTTCTCTTAATTTCAGTATTTATTGAAAAACAAACACCTTTTGTGAAGTAGTTTGAAGCTGTTTGTTGACAGGACTATGAGCTAATCTCACACGTGTTCCTCGCTGACTGTTAAAAAGCGAAAACTACTTAAACGTGGCTAGCTTTAGCCGGCTAGCTTTGGGTTAAACTGTCCAATAAGATGGACAGAGTAAAAAGCATAGAAGTCATTTGCGGTGGGAACATGTCCAAATAACGTTTTTAAACTATAACTTGTGATAAATGTTCTGAAAAATAGCGTGCACAAAGAAATATAATCTTGTTTATTTGTTTGTTCCACACATGGCAGTTATTTTAAAACAAACTATGTACACTTTTTGTGACCATGGAGGCAAGGAGCAGGCAGAAAAACTTCTTATTGTACCTGCCCTATTAATAACGAGAACACTGGGTTATTTTTGCACCTGACAACATCTTGAGAACCGTTTGTCCACACTTGGGACCCAAGATGTGACATTTGGACATATCAGTACACTTTTAATAAAAAATGTAAAAACGAACATTGCTGCTGCAGACACTGCACTTTGAAGTAAACTAGAAACAATTCCTCCTTACTCTACTAACTCTAAAAACATGCTACAGTGTTGTTTGGCTGAAGTTCTTTTTCTCAGTCCCAGAATGCATTATTTACATTTAAAATAACACCACATGGGGTCCGTTTACAGACATGTCATCTTTCTCACAAATAGTCAGTTTGCCGGTATGTGTTTCTCCTAAAATAAGACAGAGATGATTTGCTTCCTCATTCATTTTCCACACGCCACACATATACCTGTGTCTCCAGGTGTTGCTGACAAATAGCAGGGAAACTAGTGTGTACAAAAAAAAAGGTGGTGTCCAATTCAGTTTTGTTTCTATCTGTCCTCACCACTTGTTTTGAAAACAAAGTGACTTCTTCCAACACCGTGTTTAAAGCCATGTGATTTTAACATATGTGTTGGTGTTGCAGGATATATACTGAACCTCCCTTCTGTCCGTCATCATGGCTGTGAGAGCGTCTTTTGAGAAGAACAACGAGATCGGCTGCTTTGCTAAACTCACCAACACGTACTGTCTGGTGGCCGTCGGCGGCTCGGAGAACTTCTACAGGTAAAACATCTTAAAACACACCTGAGATATTAGACTGGTGGCAGCTCATGGAGTACTTCTACAGGTAAAACACCTGAGATATTAGACTGATGGCAGCTCATAGAGTACTTCTACAGGTAAAACACCTGAGATATTAGTCTGGTGGCAGCTCATGGAGTACTTCTACAGGTAAAACACCTGAGATATTAGTCTGGTGGCAGCTCATGGAGTACTTCTACAGGTAAAACACCTGAGATATTAGTCTGGTGGCACCTCATAGAGTACTTCTACAGGTAAAACACCTGAGATATTAGTCTGGTGGCAGCTCATGGAGTACTTCTACAGGTAAAACACCTGAGATATTAGTCTGGTGGCAGCTCATGGAGTACTTCTACAGGTAAAACACCTGAGATATTAGTCTGGTGGCAGCTCATGGAGTACTTCTACAGGTAAAACACCTGAGATATTAGTCTGGTGGCACCTCATAGAGTACTTCTACAGGTAAAACACCTGAGATATTAGTCTGGTGGCACCTCATAGAGTACTTCTACAGGTAAAACACCTGAGATATTAGTCTGGTGGCACCTCATAGAGTACTTCTACAGGTAAAACACCTGAGATATTAGTCTGGTGGCAGCTCATGGAGTACTTCTACAGGTAAAACACCTGAGATATTAGTCTGGTGGCACCTCATAGAGTACTTCTACAGGTAAAACACCTGAGATATTAGTCTGGTGGCAGCTCATGGAGTACTTCTACAGGTAAAACACCTGAGATATTAGTCTGGTGGCAGCTCATGGAGTACTTCTACAGGTAAAACACCTGAGATATTAGTCTGGTGGCACCTCATAGAGTACTTCTACAGGTAAAACACCTGAGATATTAGACTGGTGGCACCTCATAGAGTACTTCTACAGGTAAAACACCTGAGATATTAGTCTGGTGGCACCTCATAGAGTACTTCAGTACTAAGTCGGAGTACCTTTCCACCTCAAAGGTTATAATACTACAGAAAATCTTGGCTACTTTAAACATCTTCAAGTATTTTTTTCAATGATAATGTGACTATTGTTTCTAACGTAATCATTCCCATGAGTAGAAGTACTTCAAATGGTCTTATGGTGATTATTGTTCGTGTTTATTTATTGCTTAAAAATGTAAAATCCGATCTGAAACCAGTGCCCGTTGTTTTCTGTGTGACGCAGTGTGTTCGAGGGGGAATTGTCAGAAACCATCCCGGTGTTTCACGCCTCCATCGCAGGCTGTCGCATCATCGGGAGGATGTGTGTGGGTGAGTCACACACACACACACACACTCACAGGTCTCACCCCTTTCATCTGGCTGCTGGAAAGCTTAGATTTTTAACACACTGATTACAAAGGGAAACTGATCTTTTCAAAAACATTTAAGGCCCTGTGATTTATTTTTTATCTAATATTTGACACAATGCTTTTTACCAAGAATGTAAGCAGACAGAAGGCCTTCCCATTTTGAAGACATTAACCAAAAAACATTAGCCAAAGTCATTTTAAGATACTGCACTTCAGTAGAACTCTGAAGTGCAGTAAATCATAATGCTGAAAGAGCAGTGGCGTTGTAAAGAGCTATTGATTCAAGGCTTTTATTGTCGTGTGCAGAGCTACAATGTCGATCTGAGGTCACAGGCTCCTCCTCCAACAGAGCAACACAATAACACAGATACAATAGTGAAAAGTAAACAGACGCTGAAATAATACGAAAAAAAGGCAGCCATCATCACCGGCGCTGTATTGTGCAAAATAACCAGAGGAATGTGCAGAGTATTGGGAACGACTCCTATAATGTGCATTAGTGTAACGCACTAGAGAAGGACCTTTATTACTGTTAGACAAATCTCACTCTCCCCCGGCTTGAGCTTCAATCTCAGGATCCATGTATCTCTGATCCTCTCCAGAATGGAAGTAGTCATCACATACAGAGCATCAACTAGTTCCTGAACAGTGTCCTTCACATGCTGATATCCAAGAGAGGGAGTTACACAGTCACAAGATGGAGGAATACTGGTTCTTGTCGGTAATCATACATCCTGTCATGTTCGAAATACTCAGTTTTTTCTGAAAATGTTGGTTTTTTTCTGAAAAATTCTGACTTTTTCTCAAATTCTGACTTTCTCAAAATTCTGAATTTTTTCTCAAAATTCGGATTTTTTCTCAAAATCTCAAAATTCTGACTTTCTATCTAAATTCTGACTTTTTCTCAAAATGTTGTTTTTTTCCTAAAATATCTGAAATTTTCCTCAAAAATCTTAATTTTTCTCAAAAATCTTAATTTTTCTCAAAAATCTTAATTTTTCCTCAAAAATCTGAATTTTTCTCAAATCTCAAAATTCTGACTTTTTCCTCAAAAATCTGAATTTTTCTCAAATTTAAAAAATCTGACTTTTTCTCAAAATCTAAAAAATATGACTTTTTCTGAATACTTAAAAATGTTAATAATCACTCGTCCCCGGCTTGAGCTTCAACCTCAGGATCCATGTATCTGTGATCCTCTCCAGAATGGAAGTAGTCATCACATACAGAGCATCAACTAGTTCCTGAACAGTGTCCTTCACATGCTGATATCCAAGAGAGGGAGTTACACAGTCACAAGATGGAGGAATAGAAAGCAGTATTCAATGTTTACTTCAGATTAGCTCCACGTCAGAAATGAGCATGCTTGTCATATGTCTCTCTCCATAGAGGCTGAATCATCATGTTAATCACATAGCTATCATATGCCTCAAACAGTCCTGATGCTCTTCTAGGTAATCATACATCCCGTCATGTTCACAGCTACAGTTGGGATACCTTTGTTAGCATGTTACTCTCATATTGGAAGAGGACATTCAGGATTTTCACAACAATTATCTTCCGGGGTGTGACCTGTGCTGATGGTTTTGTGTCCGTGGTGCGTTCAGGGAACCGTCACGGCCTCATTGTGCCCAGCAGCACGACGGACCAGGAGCTGCAGCACATCAGGAACAGTCTGCCGGACGCCGTCCGCGTGCAGCGGGTCGAGGAGAGGCTGTCGGCGCTGGGGAACGTCATCGCCTGTAACGACTACGTGGCTCTGGTCCATCCTGACCTCGACCGGGTGAGACTCAACATTACACCACCATGTTCTTTATCATTTAAATATTAATACATCTCATCGGTTTGTTGCTGAGTGAAGGCTTGATGCAGCTAAATGCAAAATGTTCCAGAGACACGTTTTTACATACATGTGGACGCCTACTTTCAATTTAATATTATTGCTTTCAACTAACCTAATAGTTATGAGATTTGTTGACATAATACATTCAATTAAAGTCAAAGTTTTTTTCAGTGTGAGATTGTGTTACTGAAGGCTGCACGGTATCGCAAAACAAGGGAGGGAGAAAATGAATAGCTGGAATACCATATATATTTTGTAATATATTTGGCAGCAAACAATGACAGTGTTTTTTCAAGACATAGTAATTGTACATCTTAAGTTTGTCTGTCCGAAATGCCTAAAATAAAAAAAGTACGAACATTAGGGACTGACCAGGGGCCTCATTTATAAACGGTGCGTACGCTCAAAAAATGGCGTACGCCAGTTTCTTGCTCAGTGGCACCACGACAGGGCAGGAGGTGAACTGGGACCTCTCCAAGTAGCAGTCCACACTCCATATTTAGGTCTGGTCGGGGACTTGAACCGGCGACCCTACGGCTCCCAGTCCAAGCCCCTATGAGGCTAGAATGAGTGATCTGTTTGGTATTTTGAGCCAAACACTTCAGAGACATGTTTTTTATATATATATCTGAGACCTGTAATATATGCCTACAAATAGTATAATAGGAGACTATTGGCAGTTAGTGTCAAACATTGCCACGGTATATTGTACATTGCATCTTTACATGAATGACATCAATCTGTTCATAGTTCTTTTCAGCAATATACACACGATGACACAAAAAACACAGATGAGACATGAAGACAAAAAGACTGACCAATTGGGGAGTAGACCTTTCTTTACAGCAGAGTTCTGGATCTGTGAAAACAAAGCCAGGCCTTTAGGGTCCACACATTGTGTATCTCCTTCCAGTCGTCTTTGATAACCGGACTGTCCCAGAATACATGGAAGTGGTTTGTGTTCTGGTTACCACCATTCTCATCGTGGTGTTGTGTGCAGGAGACGGAGGAGATCCTGGCGGACACCCTGAAGGTGGAGGTCTTCCGTCAGACGGTGGCTGAGCAGGTTCTGGTCGGGTCTTACTGTGCCTTCAGTAATCAGGGAGGTCTGGTCCACCCCAAAACATCCATCGAGGACCAGGACGAGCTCTCTTCACTGCTGCAGGTCCCTCTGGTGGTGAGTGGACTCTCAATCAATCAATCAATCACTTACTTTATTAATCCCACAATTGGTTATGAGCAGCTTATGACATGAACACAGGCAGGAACATACAGGAAGAAAACACACAAACACCCGGGAGCAGAGAGGGAGAAAGTACACACTTCCTGTACTCAAGTAGAAGTACAGATACTCGTGTGTAAAAATACTCTGGTGAAAGTAGAAGTACTGACTAAAGTGTGTAAAGTGTGTAGGTGTGTGTGGTACAGTGTGTGTGTGTGGTACAGTGTGTGTGTGTGTGTGTGGTACAGTGTGTGTGTGTGTGGTACAGTGTGTGTGTGTGTGGTACAGTGTGTGTGTGTGGTACAGTGTGTGTGGTACAGTGTGTGTGGTACTGTGTGTGTGGTACAGTGTGTGTGTGTGGTACAGTGTGTGTGGTACAGTGTGTGTGTGTGTCGATGCGGCAGACAGACGGGTCTCAGTTGGTTTGGTTTCCCCTGCTTACTTTTAAAACTTGTAAATAAAACTTTTGCCCCGTAATTCCATTCTGGATTTGCAGTGTTTCCAGCATTCACACCGCAGTGTTTCCAGCATTCACACCGCAGTGTTTCCAGCATTCACACCGCAGTGTTTCCAGCATTCACACCGCAGTGTTTCCAGCATTCACACCGCAATGTCTGCAGCTAACTTGTGACTTCCTGTGCAGGCGGGCACGGTGAACCGAGGCAGCGAGGTGATCGCCGGGGGGATGGTGGTGAACGACTGGTGTGCGTTCTGCGGCCTGGACACCACGAGCACCGAGCTGTCCGTCATCGAGAGCGTCTTCAGGCTCAGCGACGCAGCGCAGCCGTCCGCCATCGCCACCACCATGAGGGACTCGCTCATCGACAGGTACGCCCCCTTTACTCCCCCTTTATTACTCACCCAGCAGGTACAAGGTGATGAAATACAACATAGTGAAACCCACAAAGATTTACCTTTCTTACCGAGCAGGTACTCGGGATGGGAACGATTATTCGAATATTCTAAATTATTCAGGTATTCGAATATGAGTTATGAATATTGGTATTAATTATTTTTTTGTTATTTTGTTTTTTGGGAGGGAGGGATGCCTAAGTTGATTACATATCATCAAATTGAATAGTTCAATGTATACACAGTGCCATAGCTAAATGTGTTGGGTGACGTCTCAAGGTGTGTTTTGCTCCGCTCACCGGTCCCTCACAGCGGGCAGAGGCAGGTGCTGATCTCTCTCTCTCGTCCGGTACTTCACTCGCGTTTATGTCCAAACCCATCTGATCTAGTTCTAGCTAATGATATGGCTGCTGCCCCTGCCTACACGCAGATCACGCAGACTCAAACCTCATCTTATGCCCAAATGCGGCACAAATGCGCTCCGCAGCCGTTGCGAGGTTCCGGCGCTAACAGTTCATGAGCGTGCTCCCCCGCCCCCTGTCAACACTCGCGACACATGAGTGGCCAGCCTAAACAACAATAAGCACTGCTTGGCAACCGTGTGTGGCGGCAAAGTACATAGACATTTTGTTTTGCCGGTATTCAACATATTTTACCAGTCATAGTCCGGTAATTATTTACACTCTAAGAAGAGTCCTACACAACAGACATGGCGTCAAAAAGGAGTAATGTGTGGAAATATTTCGACCAGGTTAGTGAGTGCGGTGTAGAGTGCAAACTATGCCAAATTAAACTTATATATATACATACTATACCTTGCTATACCCGCAACCTCCGTTCCAGCTGAGAGGGTCTTCTCTACAGCTGGCCTGATTGTGAAGCGCCTCCGCACATGAAAGCTGTAGGCCTATAGCTGTCAAACTGTGATCACCAGTTCAATACATTTGACAAATTCGACTTGGTTTCTAAACTTATTTGAACATGTATTTATTTATTTCCAAAAGTTATTGAACATTTTTTTTTAGAAAAAATATTTTAGAATTTTTTTTTACCCCAATTTTTTTATAGTATAAGTACATTTCAGTTAACCGTTTTTTGGGGGGTCGAATATTCGAATATACATTTGCTTTCAAATTCCCATCCCTAGCAGGTACCTTCTCTAGTCTGTGAATCTGCCGTTTAAACTGCTGCATTTCCCCAGAGGGATTAATAAAGCTCCATCTTTTCTTTTCTCACAAGGAGAAGCACAAACTGCAGAACGAGTGAAACACACAAACTACAGAACGAGTGAAACACACAAACTACAGAACGAGTGAAACACACAAACTACAGAACGAGTGAAACACACAAACTACAGAACGAGTGAAACACACAAACTACAGAACGAGTGAAACACACAAACTCAAACTCTGCCAATTTGCTATGAATAACGTACATCTTAGGCGAGAGCCCATCGTAACACACTGACTCATTTGCACCGGAACATCACACACATCCTCACTGACACGCCAACACACACACACACACACACACTCATACTCATACTCATCCTCATCCTCACTGACACACACACACACTGTTTAATATTAACATGTGATGCTGTTCTGCGCTCGCAATTAAAAAGTGACACACACACACACACACACACACGCTACCACCTGTTCATGTAATAGCTTTTAAGAAATATTACAATAACAGACAAGATGTTATGTAAAAAACAGATTGAAACGCCTCCTTTGTTAATTCCAGAATTTGTGAAAAAAGGTCCCAAATTGTGAACAAAGTACATCTGATCTCAAAGAGCAGGACACATCCTGCGTTCTGTAAGAAGAGCTTCTTTAGCCATCGTTTCCTCCCTTCCTGTAGAAACCGTTGAATGTCTCCGTGTGGTTCTGAACTCCTCCTCTGCTCTGTTTCCCCTCAGCATGGCGTAAGGATCGCAAACAAGAGAACCAACAAGCTGCTGGACCCCCCCCCCCCCCCTCACCTGCAGACATATTACAGTTATCCTCATATCACATCCTTCTTGATCTCTTACCTCTCATTTAACCCTTTCTGCCAAACACCCAGCACTTCCTCTCTAAATCTCTCTGGAGGAGTTGTTGATGAGTCTGACGCCTCACTCACATGCAATCTGAGGCATCTAAGCTTTTGGGGGATGAATGGGGAATACTATTATCCAAATGCATTTAGTAGTTTTCTCCCAGTTTGGTAGAGAAGCTGTGCTTAAAAAAACGTGTTAAAAGTCAATTATTTCTGTGCCTGTTTCATAAAGAAAGTGTAAAAGGAAGCTTGTGTCGATAAGACTGTATTATGTTTAAGAGATGATATGATAATGTAGTCAAACTGATGTTCGCATGCAGTACGATAAACACACGCACATATACACACACACACATACACACACACACACACACACACGTGTACACAGTGAGATGGATGTTTTCTGTATGAAATGAGACTGATTTCTCACTCGAACCGAAGGCCTGAACACCGTTTATTTTTAACGAACAGTACGTCTCGTCTGTCTTGTAAAAATAAAAATAAAATCACCCTCTTTTTATCCGTTTGTGGTCTTTATGATTTTAGGAGAGTTACGAGGAGTCTCGGTTGAAAGAAGGAATGTTTAGTTGGTTAGAAAAGTAATTTAAATACTTAGTGTTTATATTTAAAGTGATTTATGGTGCTGTGTTTATTAGTCAGATACAGCTTCAGATTAAGGTACAGTATAGTATAGTATAGTCAAATACTGAAGTACTAAACCTTCAAATCTTAGAACAGAACTTTAGTAAATGTACTCAGTTAATTTGCACTATTGCATGCAATGACAAGACTACTCAATACTTACATAAATAAATCATAGGAAGCAAAACTGTCTTCTCTCATTAACTTAATTAATGAACTATCTAACAATATTTAAAGTATTTAAATCAGCGTTTACATACTGCTCTAACATTGAGGTTTCAGTATAAAAAGTATTTATAAAAGTTAATTTCACTCGAATGTGATTTTGTTTGCAGGACTGATTACTTATGTAAGACGTCATCCTCTGATGCTTAGATGTAGTCCCTGAAGGCAGCATCTCCCTCGTCCAATGGGATTTCTACATTTGTTTTCAGCTCCACATTATCACCATTTTGGGATTTTTGTTTTTGATTGAGACCCCTAGCTGCAGTGTGTGTGTCTTATCTTATGTGTAAACCTACCTGGCACTCGTGTGTCTTTGCTGCCCTCTGCTGGTGAACATGGGGTATTTATTTGATATATTTTAGTTCAGGGGTGTCCAAATGTATTCCTCTGAGGGCCATACACTAGAGGTGATATATTTTGCCTCATAAGTGAAGTTACGGGTTAGCAAAATCAATCAAAAGAAGGGTGAATTATTCTTGATTCCAGAGGTGGGAAGTAGTGGAGTACAAATACTTTGTTACTGTACTTAAGTACATGTTTCTGGTATCAGTACTTTACTCCACTACTTATTTTTCTGACGACTTTTTACTTTGACTTCTTACATTTTGAACCCAAATACCTGTACTTTCTACTTCTTACATGTTGAACACAAATACCTGTACTTTCTACTTCTTACATGTTGAACACAAATACCTGTACTTTCTACTTCTTACATGTTGAACCCAAATACCTGTACTTTCTACTTCTTACATGTTGAACACAAATACCTGTACTTTCTACTTCTTACATGTTGAACACAAATACCTGTACTTTCTACTTCTTACATGTTGAACACAAATACCTGTACTTTCTACTTCTTACATGTTGAACCCAAATACCTGTACTTTCTACTTCTTACATGTTGAACACAAATACCTGTACTTTCTACTTCTTACATGTTGAACACAAATACCTGTACTTTCTACTTCTTACATGTTGAACACAAATACCTGTACTTTCTACTTCTTACATGTTGAACCCAAATACCTGTACTTTCTACTTCTTACATGTTGAACACAAATACCTGTACTTTCTACTTCTTACATGTTGAACACAAATACCTGTACTTTCTACTTCTCACATGTTGAACCCAAATACCTGTACTTTCTACTTCTCACATGTTGAACTCAAATACCTGTACTTTCTACTTCTTACATGTTGAACACAAATACCTGTACTTTCTACTTCTTACATGTTGAACCCAAATACCTGTACTTTCTACTTCTTACAAAAAAAAGTTCGGGGGACACCTTACTTCTCCCTTCTCTCTGTCTGTACCTGTGTACTCTCATGTTCCCAATAACCCAGCTTCCCCCAAATTTCTTTTTGGTGTCTATCTACGCTGGGATCCTGAGTCCTGATCTGAGTCCTGGACTTCGAGTCGTGGCTGAACCTGTCTCTGCGGTCCTGCCTGACTCTCATCATACTACTTCCCTGATGGCTCCCTCAGGATTGTTGACATCCTCGTGGATTCATCTTCTTATTATAGACACATGCATTTCCAAACATTTGGTCTACCTATGTTGTAAATGTATTATCTTTTCAATTTACACACGGCATCTATTGCACGTCTGTCCGTCCTGGGAGAGGGATCCCTCCTCTGCTGCTCTCCCTGAGGTTTCTCCCATGTTCCCTTTAAACTGTGGGGTTTCTCTGGAAATGTTTCCTTGTACGATGTGAGGGTCTAAGGACAGAGGGTCTAAGGACAGAGGGTCTAAGGACAGAGGGTGTCGTATTGTCACTGATATTCTGTACAAACTGTGAAGTCCACTGAGACACATGTAACATTTGTGATATTGGGCTATATAAATACACATTGATTGATTGACGCAGCACAGCCACACCCTCTCCAGATGAGTAGCATCACACAACTGAGATTTGTTAAAAAAAACTATTTGAAAAGTGGGTGTTAATATTTCATTATACTTTTTTTAATTAATTAAAAATGGAATGTACTGTATTTTAAAAAGCAGAACAGAACAAACAAAAGACAAGAAGGATATTTTAAAGGCAACTTTTTATTGATTTCTTTATTGGCAAATGCTTTGAATAAGGTTGCAGCAATGCGTCTATGTACACCCCTCCGAACAGTGACACGTCAGAAAGCCTAAAGAAAAACACACTTTGTAACACAGCTCGATTATATGATCGCACAGTTCTTTTGTTTTCCTTCAAAACGTTCGCTTATTTTCAGTTTTTGGTTCGGGAAACATCTACAAAACGTCTACATTAAACAATGCAATTAAGATATACATACATTTATAAAAACAACGGTTAAAACATGCAGGGTGTGTAGTGCATCACAACCTTTTGTAAAGTATTTTCAAAGAAAGGCAGACGGACACACGGACAGAGAGGAGAGGAGGGTTGATGATAATAATAATGGTTATATAGATATACAGTCATTTCCTAAAAAAACCTCTATGCCAACTCTCTTATATTGGTTTTAATTTATGTGCAAAAGAAGCTTGTTCATGTCCAACGTTAAATACATTTTGTTATGTCTAATGCTCAAGTCTATGCTACCAAGCTGTGAGGAGCTCAATATACAAAATGTGATAATTATACTATTTAAGTTTCACTGCCCAAGCCTTTAATGATCATTAAATGACTCACTTCCTGTGCTGTAGTAGTGCTCTTTGACCCTTTATTGTCCTGTGATGCTAACGCTAACCGAGCTAACAGAGTGGTGCAGGGATGACGTATTTTTTTAATCCGACCCTGAAGGCAGCATCTCCCTGGTTCCCTCTGCTAAAAGCCAATGGGATTCCTCCATTGGATTTGGGTCTGTGGTAATCAAAACATTTATGAAAAGCTATAAAGGAACTACAGCACGGTCACATGACTTCACGCTAAGCTAACGGCGGCTAATGTTGGGCGTGATGACGTTTAGTCAGGCG